GAAGCGTGGATCTGTCCCCGGTTGGAGGGCAGGGGCCCGTGTTTAACTTGGTCACCTTTGTGCCCTAAAAACCTGCTCGGGAGTCTGGCACGGAGGGGATGACTCGGGGGACACTGAGAAGGCATCATTTTGTTGGCAGGGATCCTTTAAACTGAGAAGGTTTGCTGGGTAGCGTGGTGTCCCTGCTCTGGTTGCATTGATTCTCATGTGTGCTGAGCACTCGTCTGTGCCCGGGCAGGAGTGGGAGGTGAGCACCTGACTTCACCCCAGACCCCAGGCAGGCTGGCCTCAGCACCAGGACAACTCCCATGCTCCTGGGTTCTAGGTTGTAAAAATAGAACTACCGTGTGGTCTAGCAGTCCCACTTCTGGGTATATAGTTAAAGGATATGAAAACAGAATATCGAAAAAATATCTGCACTCCCATATTTATTGAAGCAGTATTCATAATAACCACGATATGGAAAGAATCTAAGAATCTATTAATGGATGAAAGGACAAAGGAGATGTGATATGTATATACACACACACACACACACACACATACATATGTATAAACACACATAGAGAAATTTTTTTCTTTTTTTTTTTTTTTTTGGCCACATAGAATGTGGGATCTTAATTCCCCAACCAGGGATGGAACCCACGCCCCCTGCAGTAGAATAGCGGAGTCTTAACCACTGGACCACCAGGGAAGTCCCATAGAGGAATTTTTAAAATTGTTTATAGTTGATTTACAATACTGTGTTAGTTTCAGGTGTACAGCAAAGTGATTCATACATATTATATATATTCTTATAAGAATTATATATATAATTATATATATATATTCTTTGATTCTTTTCCATTATAGGTTATTATAAGATATTTAATGCAGTTACTTGTGCTATAAGGAAATCGTTGTTTATTTTATTTATGGTATTGTGTACCACAGAGGACCATTATTCAGCCACGAGAAAGAAGGAAATCTTTCTATTTGTGACAATATGGTTGGGACTTGAGGGCATAATGCTAACTAAGTAAGATAGGAAAAACAGAGAAAGACAGATACTATCTGACATCATTATGTAGAATGTAAAAACGCCAAAGTCATAAAAACAAAGAGTAGAACCATGGTTAGCAGGGGCTGGGAGGTGTGGAAATTGGGGAAAGGTTATTTAAGGATACAAATTTGCAAACAGGAGATGAGTTCTGGGGATGTAATGCACAGCATAGTGATTATAGTCAACAATACTGTATTATAAACTTTAAAGTTGCTAAGAGACTAGATCTTAATTGTTCTCATCACACACAAGAAATGGTTATTATGTGATATGATGGAGGTATTAGCTAACACTACTGGTGGTAATCAACTGCAAAATATAAATGTATCAAACCAACATGTGTACAACTTAAAGGTAGACAATTTATATGTCAATTATATCTCAATAAAAAATTACTCCCCATAGTTTAAAACTACAAATGGCCAATGGACATATGAAAAATTTTAATCTTGATATGTATTGAGAGGCATGCAAAATAAAATATCAAAATAAACAATTTGGCTTATCCAATTGAGAGATTCAAAACCTGTCTTGAGACTTCAGTACAGGTAAAGGTGAGGACCAGAAAGAAAGGACCCACGACTTTATCCCAGGACAACTGGAGAGTGGATTTAATTCTACCCGTGAACTGGGGATGATGGGAAAGGAAGAGTTTGAGGGAAATGACGAGTTAACTGAAAGATTACACTGATCTTGAGGAGAGAGAAATGCACCCAGCTTGAGGCAGGAAAGGCAGTAACAGATTTTGAAACGTGTTGTGACCCACAATTGCCACCCTCGTCTCACAACAGTCTCACTCCTGAGTGGCATGAGCACAGTAACATGGCACCGCTGCTCTGGAGGGTGTCAAACCCCTAAGGCGTGCCTACGCTGCGGCCCACGTGCAGGAGTGTATGGTAAGAGATCGACCGTGACTGCACCACAGCATTTATCCACAAGGACGCCTGTCACCACGTCATCAGTAAAACCCAACAAAAACCACAAAAGCAAACCAAAGCCAACAACAACCTCAAACTCAACCCCCCAAACAAACAACAACAAAGGAAAACAAGCAAGAGGCAGTGCGAAATACATGATGAGACCTTCATACCCGAGATACTCTGTGGCTTTGGAAGCAGAAGTGTACTTAATCACACAGGAAGATAAGCAGGAAGTATTTATGTCATAAAGTGAAAAAAGTCATATGTTCCTAATTTTACATATATAAAGGACATGCACACAAAGTGAAAATTCATCCGAAACTGGGCAGTTTCCCTCGGGGTGGGATGGGCTGGGACTCTACGCCGTTTCTATCTCTCGTGTTCTGACTGTATTGGGTTCTGACCGGCCCTCCTGGAACTGCCCTCTCAGCTGCTCTTTCGTCCTCCCCTGACTCAGTTGCTTGGATCCCAGTCAGTCTCCAGAAGTGGGAGGTTCGCAAGAAGACAGGTGGCCCCACCTCAGCGTGGCCCCAGCTGCTCCAATGGGGAGCTCCACGTTGTTAAGGCTCCCAGCTCTGCCCCCAAGCCCTGGGTTTCTTATCTGTCCCCTGGCCCCTACCCAGAAAGATCAGGGTCGCCTTCAGACTGTGTCCTTGCACCACCTCTCCAGCCTAATACCCTGTCCCTGCAAGAGGCACTGGGGCCTCAGGAAAGCAGCTTCTGCTTGGGTGGGCATCTGTGGGGGGCACGCGGTGGCCGCGGTGCAGCCTCCGGCCCTGGGGTGAGGCAGGCAGAGATCCGCACCTGGGACCCGGGCTCCAGCTGGGCAGCTGAGGAGGGCACATGGTGTGAGGCTCGGCCGCTCTGTCCTGGGTGCAACCAGGCTGCTGGGGTCCTCAGCCCCAGGAACTCTGAGTGCATCGACCATGAGCAGCCACCGCCCGAGCAGACGTGGGACCGGTGCGGGGTGAGGGCCAGGGTCTCTCCTGACTCCCCTTTGCACCGCTCCTGGTGCGTCAGTCAGCAGCGCAGCCAAGGCCTCCAGGACCAATGCAGGCCCATCCAGAGGAGACTCTCCCGTGCGATGCTGGGCCCAGGGGCCAGCCTGGGGACAGAGACGTGGGGTCAGGCGTGGGTCTCAGCCCCATGCCACCCACCACTGTCCCTTCCCCTCCTGGTGACATGGTCCCCAGGAGCCACCCACCCTCCCGTCCCGCCACCCAAACTGAGGGGGTTGTGCCACTCAACACTGAGGAGCCCTTGGTCCAGCCTTGGGTGGGATTTGTGGCAGGGTGGGGAGGTCCGGCTCTGTGGGTGAGGACCTTGCTCCCCGGGGGTGCTGGGACTCATCTCTCCCGTGCCCATCTCAGCTCAGACTGTCCCCCGGTCTTCCCTGTGACTTCCCATACACTCCACTTTCCCTACCACGGGCCCCTCTGTCTCTAGGTCCCCTGGGAGCCTCTGCTCCCTTCCCCCATCCCACGGTGCTAGGTCTTCCAGAAGGAGGTGGGAGAGTGCAGGCCCAGAGGCAGATTCGGCTCCACCACTTCTTACCTGTGTCATAAGGGCAAAGCGCTCCCCTCCCAGAGCCCCCAGTAGGTGGGGAGGACAGAGCTCCCCCAGAGCGTCGCTAGGTCTGTCCTTCCTTCCCCACGCCAGAACCGGACCACTGGACCACCCCACCCCTCGGGGTCTCTGCCTGGTCCCTTCCTCTCCTTGTGGGTCAGGCCCTTCTCTAGGCTGCTCCCCAGGCAGCTCTAGGGTCAGGGTCAGGGTTAGGGTTAGGGACTCTCTTGACAAGACCAGAGAAGGGGCAGGTCACTTCCTATAACACCAGTTCCTGAGACAAAGAAAGAGATGGGGACTTGAGAGCTGCCTCCCCACCCAGAGAGGTCCCTGTCTCGCCAAGTGTCACCTCCTCTGCAAGCCCCTTCTCCATCTCCCCTCCACCCCAGCCTGAGGGCTGCCCTCCGCTCAAGGAGATCCCCACTTTCCCAAATTCTCTGGGACACGAGGGCTGCTGGAGGCCGTCCAGGGCTGTGGCACCGGGAGGGCACGGGGAGGAGCTGGAGGGAGCGTGGCTGAGATGGTGGGAGGGCCGGGGAGGAATGCATCTTTCCTGCTCTTCCGTGGCCGCAGGTGCGGAGCTTTGGAGGATGCCCCAGGAGAGCAGAGAGGGGAGCAACAGGGCCAGCAGCAGCGGGCAGAGAGCAGTCCCCTGGCCGCAGAGGCCAGGCAGGGGGCCGGTTTGCAAAGGGCAGAGAAACAGACAGACCTGGGCTTTGGCCAAGAACACAGCCACCCTTCCAGGCTGCCCCCCAGTGTGTGGAGGACAAGGGTAGCAGCATCTTTTCTCCTCTAGGGCCTTCCCTGGGCCTCCCCTGGGCCTCCCCGAGCCCATTTCCCTCCACTCCCCCGTGTTCAGGTGACACCACTGGGGCCGTGGCCGGGAGGTGATGGGCTGACCCTCCAAGATGCCGAGGCCGCCGCCTCTCACCCCCATCTTGGAAATATGACAAGGGACTCCGGAGGGCCTGCGCCCGCCCTGCCTTGCCTGCTCGCGGCTCGGCAGCTTTCCGGGCTGGCTTCCTCGGGCCCCTTCCACGTCTCCCCCAAACCACCGAGGGGCCTGGACATCTACATGTCATGGCAACCGCCTCCCTCCAGCCCGAAGTCCAACCTCTGGCCTCCTACCTCTTTGGTCAGGGCCAGTCATTCACGTTCCTGCTGCAGAATTTCTTCCTTCTGCTCCCCACTTCGCCCAAGGTGAGGCAACAGGTCGGCCGCACTCAAGTAATTTTCTCGAGTTCGATGGAAAGGGCCCGTTTCGCGAGTTTCTGTGCAGCTCGTCACCGGCCGCGACGTGGGTGACCAGAGCCGGGGCTTGGGGCTCGGTGGCCGTGACCTCCGCCGAGGTCTAGGGTCCGGGGGCCCGGGCCGCCCCTTCTCCTTCCCCCGCCGCGTCCCGGCGGCCCTGGGCCCCGCGGAGCTTCATGCCGGCGCCCCTGCCGTCGCGGCCGCGCGGCGGTTGCGGGCGCTCACTCGATCCGCACCTGCAGGCGGACGTTGAGCATCACCGAGGCCACGATGTAGAAGTAGGGGAAGTTCACGCGCAGCCGCCAGGCCAGGTCGAAGAAGGTGATCAGCGTGCGCGTGAGCCCCTTGCAGAAGGCGCCGTACGAGCCGCGGGCCGCAGCCGAGCGAGACAGCCGCACCGCCAGGCCCGACATGGCAGCCGCCGCAGCCGCAGACAGGGCCGCTGACGCCGCCATGGGCCCGGCCCGGCGCACACCCCGCCGACCGATCGCACCGCAGGCGGGCGGGCAGGTGGATCCGAAGCCTTGAGCCGACGGCCAGCAGCCCTCGCGTACCGCCCGGCTCTCGATCTCGCCTACCCGGCTAGGCTCCAGCTGCAGTGGTAGCCACAGCCAAGTCTCCGCCTCAGCCGCCCAGGGACAGCTCCGCCCCTTCGCCTGCTCCCAGAGTTGCGGCCGCCAGCCTAGCTCCGCCGCTAGCGTGGTCACGCCCCTTTCCGGGCGCCATAGAGCTCCGGGCGCGGACTCAGCCCCACCCCAGACCCGCCCCCCCGGAAGCCCCGCCTCCTCCCGGGCTGCCAAGGAGAGAGCCCAGAGGGCCTTGAGTGCTTTGGAAGGCGGTGCTGCCCTGGGATTCTTTTGCTGAATGTGCTAGAGCAGGGGCAGCGGAGGCCCGGAGGGTCTGGGCCGCTGGGCTTGTTCTGCACAGAAGGCCCACCCTGAATGCTCTGCCCATTTACACCATCCCCTCTCCCTCCCTGTCTCCACAGAAAACTGGGCCAGCCAACCCACTGTACTTTTTCTTAAAAGTATTTATTTATTTGGTTGTGCCGGGTCTTAGTTGCAGCAGCCGGGCTCCTTAGTTGTGGCATGCAAATTCTTAGTTGCGGCATGAATGTGGGATCTAGTTCCCCGACCAGGGATGGAACCTGGACCCCCTGCATTGGGAGTGCGGAGTCTTATCCACTGTGCCACCAGGGAAGTCCCACTCTGTACTTTAATTCACATTTTTCTGGTAACTCTGCACTATGGAGTTTCACCAAACCCACATGCGCATTTTTTCCCCTTTCTGGTATATTTGCTGGTGTTGTGTATTTCTTTATTCATGAATTGCCCCATTGTCCTTCCCTTTTACCTGTAGGGGAGGAAAGACTTTCCCTCTACCCTCCTAGATTCAATATGTTAATATATACACTTCCTAGGTCAATGAAAAACACGGACAACAGGCAGAGTAACAGGAGAAAAGGTATACATATTTATTAATTTTTAATGTTATTTGGGCGATGGCGTCATAAGAAAAACAAAGAATACCTAGAAAGGCAGTGAGATTTGAGATCTTATATGCCACCTTAACAGGGGAAGGGGAGGGAAGATGTAGGCAATCTAGGGAAGAGTAAATGATTTGTAGAAAGTTGGGTGACACCTTAGAAGCATAGATGGGAGATTTCACAGTTTGAGACAGAGTTTGTCTGGGTGTGGTGTTGACATCTAGTTCTTCTCCTGTGGTAAGAGTCAATCCTCCCTGGTTGATGAAACTTCCAAGGAGGGGATTTATGACAGAGTTCCTTTTAGAAGCTCTGTCTTTAAGCAGATAAGGGGATTTCAGAGAAAGCTGTGTTTTCAGATGACTTCAGCTAAAGATAATCAGTATAACCGAAGTGGCATATTTTGGGGTGGCATGTACTGAAGTCCTTCATACCCTATAGTGATTTCTAAGCACTTCTCTTAATCCATTGTTTGTCCTGGATACTGCACAGAATCTCTCAGGTTTTCATTTGCCCTCGTTCATGGCATTTCTTGCTGGTGTGTTTAAAAGCCCTTTCATGGTTTCATCTCATCTTTATTGTAAACCAAGTCCAACCCAAACTTGATCATGTTTTCAAGACTATTTAATGAAGTGGAAAAATGCTCATGTTTCCTTATAGTTGTAACTTTTAAAAAGCTGTGTGCAAGAGGTAGAGTCACCACGACCCCATCCCAGTTTCACAAGGAGGGCTGGCCTGTGTATTAAGGCTTTCTCAAAGTGCCTGTTCACCATCACATTTGAACATCTCTATGGCATCCGTGTGACTGTTTAAGAAACCCAACAGATTCGTATACACTGATTGGGCAATTGTCCTACCTACATGGTCAAGGAAAAAAAGGCATACCTGAAGCGTCAAGGACACTGAAAGAGGTGGTACAGAGCGGAACTAATCGCTGGTTCAGTTTACCACCCATACACACATACATACACAAATTCTATATTTGTGAAAACCTCCTTTGGAAGTGAAAGGGAAGTAAGGACATTCTCAGATGAAAGGAAATTAAGAGAATTTTTCATCAGAAGACCTACCCTTAAAGAATGGCTAAAGAAAGTTCCCTAGACAGAAAGAAAATGACACGTGAGGAGGATGGCACTTTAGGAAGGAAGAACAATTGGAATGGGTAAAAATAGGGATAAATAGACTGTCTTGCTCATGAGTTTCAAAAATTATTTTGATGGTTGAAGCAAAAATTATAATGTCATCTGCTGCCATCTAAATACAATGGAGCACTTTATTACATATGGTGGGTATTGATTTTTTTTTTCCCATCCAGATATTTGGCTTCAGAAAAAATCAGATTAGGAAATGCTTATAAACAAGCTAGTGTTTCTGTTTTTAAATAACAGTTTCATTGAGATGTAATTCACATAGCATAGAATTCATCCTTTTAAAATGTGCAATTCAATAGTTTTTAGTATATTTACAAAGTTGTGCAACCAGCACCACTATTTAATTTTAGAAAATTTCCCTCACCCCGAAAAGAAACCCTGTACCCCTTAGTAGTCAAACTCCATCACCCCCTTCTCCTAGGCCCTGGCAACCACTAATGTACTTTCTATCTCTGTGGATTTGCTTATGCTGGACGTTTCATATAAATGAAATCATACACTATGCAGCTGTTCATAACTGGCTTATTTCACTTAGCGTAAAGTTTTCAAGGTTCATCTTGTTGTAACCTGTATCAGTATTTCATTTTTAATGGCTAGATAATATTCCATTTTATGGCTAGGACAAATTTTGTTTATCCATTTATCAGTTGAAGGATATTTGGGTTGTTTCCACTTTGGGGCTGTTATGAATAATACTGTTAGGAACTTTCATGTACAAAGTTTTGTGTGGACATACGTTTTCATTTCTCTTGGGTATATACCTAGCAGTGGAATTGTTAGGCCATATGGTAACTCTATGTTTAACTTTCTAAGGAACAGCAAAAGGGTTTGCCAAAGCGGATGCACCATTTAACAATCCCACCAACAATGTAAGAGGGTTATAGTTTCCCCCATATCCTGCCAACACTTGTTCTGCCTGTGTTTTTTATTATAAACATCCTAGTGGATGTGAGGTGGCACCTCATTATGGTATTGATTTTTATTTCCCTAATGACTAATGATGTTGAACACGTTGTCATGTGCTTGTTGGCCACCTTTGGAAAAATGTCTATTCAGACCCTTTGCTGATTTTTTTTTTATTGTAGTAAAATAGATGTATCATATGTGACGTAATAAGAAAGATATACTTGGTCTTTGACCGTGGTTCCTGACACTGAGCTCCTAAAACTCTTATAATGTCCTGGATGATAGGGGTGCTAGAAGCATCTTATTCAGAGTGCCTAAATCCCTTTCTGGGGTAATAGGAGTGTCTTTCATTCTAATTAGGTGACCCTTGGTGGGCTCCTGGGTAGTTTCAGGATGGGGGCTGGTCACCAGAAGGACCAAGTGATGATGAAAAGCTTAGTGCTTTCGGCCCCAAGGGGAGAAGACCCTGTCCATGTGTTGGAAGGGTGACACGCCACAAACTCCACAGGGACACAAACTCCTGTGCTCGAGACCCTTGCAGACCTCTCCCTAAATACTTCATCTGGCTGTTCCCTTGTATCCTTTATAATATCCTTTATAATAAGCTGGTAAGTGTAAGTAGTGTTTCCCTGAATTCTATGACCTGTTACAGCAAATTGTCAAACCCGAAGAGGAGATCATGGGAACCCCGGGTTACAGCCAAACTGTAAAAAAGGGTAGGGAACCTGGGAACTCATTACTTGTGATTGGCATCTGAAGTGGGGGCAGTCTTATGGGACTGAGCCCTTAATCTGTAGGATCTGTGCTAACTCTGGGTAGTTAGTGTCAAGATTGGATTAAATTGTAGGGCAACCAGTTGGTGTCCACAAAGAACTGGAGAATTGCTTGGTGCAGAAAACCCACACATTTGGTGCCAGAAGTACTGTGAGCAGAGAAAGTTTCCCTTTACATAAAATTTACCATTGTAAAGTGTAGAATTCAATGGCATCAAGTACATTCACAAAGTTGTGTAACCATCACCACTATCTAGTTCCAGAACTTTTTCTCACCCTAAATGGGAAACCCCATACCCAGTAAGCAGTCACAACTCGTCCCCACTTCGCCCTGTCATCCCCTGGCAACCACTAATCTGCTTCCTGTCTCTGTGGATTTGCCTTTTCTGGACATTTCATGTGAATGAACTCATCTAGTATGTGGCCTTTGTGTCTGGCTTCTTTCATTCCGCATAATATTTTTTAAAATCATCCATGTTCTAGCATATATCAGTACTTCATTTCCTGTTATGGCTGAATAATATTCCATTGTATGGATAGATCATATTTTGTTTACCCATTCATCCATTGAAGGACATTTGTGTCGTTTCAACTTTTTGATCATTGTGAATAATGCTGCTATGAACATTGGGTACACATATTTGTTTGGACATCTGTTTTCAATTCTTTCGGGTATATGCCTTGGAGAGGAATTGCTGGATCATATGGTAATTTTATGTTTACTTTTTGAGGAACTGGGGAACTGTTTTCCACAGTAGCTGCACCTCATCCTCCCCTCCCGCCATTCACCCCTTAGCCTCTGGAAGGTCTCATGCCGTAGAGGACTTCCCCTTACACGCAAATCTGTCATAGCATAAATTTGCCCAAATGAAACTCTTGTACTATTTCCTCATGGTCATATTCGCCCCTTGATTAACCCCGTAATCCTTCAAATTCACTACCATTGGCCCCCATACCTGCTGGTTCTGCATCTGCACATACGGAGGGCTGATTGTATTCATTGTACTAGCCATTTTACCATTTTACATAGCACACTAGAGCATCCATGGATTTTGGTATGGGGGAGGGGGTGAGGCTCCAGGAACCAACTCCACGCAGATACAGAAGGACGACTGTATATTGTCCCACTCCAGATTTGTTTCGGGGAGACTTTAGTGAAATGGGAGAGCTGCTGGAAAAACTGCACCCCAACATGATCCTGCCCCCGAAAGAGACACTCAGCGCTCCACTCTTGCCTCTTTGAAGGCACTCCATGGCCTCCAGCAAAGGAGCATTGCAGCTGGAGGAAGGAAAATGCCCTTGCTTCAGAAGCTACTGGATATCGGCTCTTCATAAATCAGCATTTTCCAAATCAGCCTGGATTCCCAGACACTGTGCTTAAGGGCACCCAGCACTCAGGCTCTGCCCACCAGGATCCCCCTCCCACCCCCCTATATAGTACTCTGTGCCGCAGACGTGGGACTTTTTGTTGATGTCTCTTGGAATGCAACAGCCACTGCAGTTTCTTCTGTCCAGCCGCAGAATCTGTTGAATATCCATTTCCTTTCCAGAACTAATGACTTTTGTTTTTCCATCCCAAGAGAACTTTGAACCCAGGAAGGTGGCCACTGCAATCCATGGAGGGGATTGTATAAGTCATTTTATATGTCTGTTGCTAATATTTTGTTTGAGCTGAGAGGAGAACCTTCTTTGTTGAGTTTTTAAAACATTTTTGTAAATGTATTTAAAGATTGTTGCCTACCAGCTGTTAAAACTCCAAACTCTGCAGGGTTGTCACAGACTCAATTCCCCGTTTGTGGCCAACGCTATCGGGCAACTTGTCTGTGGGAGTAATTCAGAATTGGGCCCAAAGAATTTGTATTAGCCTCATTTTTCTTCTTCAGGTACCATGCTGGCCGCCACACAAGAGAGGCATAGTGGTAGTGGTGTCAGATTTCTACCAAGTCATCAAATATTTCCATTTAAAGAATTTGATAATCATATTCACGTTGCATTCTTGTCTTTTAGTGTGTTTACAATTTTCAACAGCGATACTGGAGGGTAATCGTCATCTAAAATCCAGTAGTTTGCAGGGCAGGGGGCTAAGAGTTGTGAATGGTCCCTGTTGCATGGGTTTTCAGGGAAGAGGGCTAAAAAGGAAGTTGAAACTGGGGCTCTGGGACAGGTTAGGTGGGGGTCTGTAGACTCAGTTAACCTGAACTCACAATCTTCATTATTATTTAACTGGGAACTGCAATTCACATGTTGGACCACTAGCCAAGGAAAAGGATTTTTGAATAAAGGCATATACTGACCATCATGATTACATTAAAATGAGAAATATTATTCTGTCAAAAAATATCCAAAATCTCAGGGCATACATCAAGCTGGTGAAAATATTCACAAATACAGCAGACAAAAGGCTGACATCTTTCCTGTGTAAGAAACTCCTATGAATCGATTAGATAAACAAAGGACATGAACAGGCAATTTACAACATGGGAACCACAACTAGTTTACAGACATGGAAAAATGTTCAGGCTCTCTGGTACAAAGGAAATTCAAATTCAAGCAGTAATGAGATACTCTTTTTACCTATCTAATTAACACAATTAAAAAATGTATACCACCATCACCAACCAAAAAAGAATAGCTAGTACCCAGTGGTGATAAGGGTGTGGTATATAACATAATTCTCATACATTATTGGTGGGAATGTAAATTTGAATAATCCTTGTGGAAATCAACTAGGTAATATAAAGAGAACCATACAATTTTTATATCTTTGACCCATAATTTCCTTTTCTGGGAGTTTACTGGAAAACATAAACCTATATATGTGCTATGGACTATTTTCCCCCCAAATTGTGTTTCCTCCAAATTCATATGTTGAATTTCTAACCCTCATGTGATACTATTTGAAAGATAATTAAGTTTATATGAGGTCATGAGGGTGGGACCTTCACGATGGGATTAGTACCCTCGTAAGAAAAGATACCAGACAGCTTGTCCTCTTTCTCTTTCCCCACCACGTAAGGACACAGCCAGAACGCACCTGTCAACAAGCCAGGAAGACAGTTCTCATCAGAAATCAACCATATTGGCACCTTGATCTTAAACTTTTAGCCTCCAGAACTGAGGGAATATTAATTTCTGTCGCTTAAGCCACCTGGTCTATGATATTTTGTCATGGCAGCCCAAGCTGACTAAGACAACATGACTTTCATCCATTCATTCATTTATCTGTTTATTCAACAAATATTTATTGAGAGTCTGCTATACCCTAGGCACTATGTTATGTGCTGAGGGCACCATGAGGAATCAGGCAGGCATGGTCCTTGCCCTCATGGAACTTACCACGTAGTGGAAAGATACACGTGAAACAGAAAATTATGGAAAGTGCCATGGAGGAAAAGTACAGAGCACTATGAGAACATACGCTATGGGATTGACTGGGGTTATTTACACGAGCAATGAATTGAAAACAACCTGAAGATCCATAGAAAAGAGATTCATTCAAGAAGTATCAATTCATCCACTTGGAGGATTACTACAAAGACATTTAACAGTCCTTTTATAGTGATGGAAAAATGCTAAAAGAAAAAAAGGATAAAAATTGAGGACCCAGGAGGGTCAGATCAAGATGGCAGAGTAGGAGGACATGGAGCTCACTTCCCCCCACAAACACATAAAAAATACATCTACATGTGGAATACTTCTCACAGAAAACTAACTCGAAACTGGCAGAAGAACTCTTATACAACAACAGCTGCAAAAAATATTTCCATGTAACAGGGTAGGATGGAAAAAAGGCATAGGGTCAGGATCTCTGCCCCTGGGAGGGATCTGCAAGGAAGAGAAGGTCCAGAACCTCACCCTAGGGAGCAAGTGGGTTGAGCCACAGACCAGACATCCGAGGCCTGGGGTCCTGTGCTGAGCAGACAAGCTGCCTTCACTGCTGGGAGAACCACTGGGACAGATAAAAGGGCTGGAGAAGCCAAGATTCCACTTGCAAAGAGTGTGGGGTACTGACTTACCAACAAACAGGACAGAGAAAGCCATGCACTGTCAGCTGCCACCATGCTGCACTTCCCCATTCCAAAGGGGCAAACACCCCAGTCCTGCTCACTGCACACTGCAGCTTGGTGGAGGTTCTGGGCCAGCTGGGCCCTGGGAAAAGACTATGTCTAGCTATGCAGATACAGCCCTGAGGCCTAGAGTGTTGTCCAGGTGGGGTGGTGTCAGCCAGTGTTGGCACTAGCTTAATCAGAAGCTCAGATCTCTGATGGCAGCACAACCACTTCAAATCCTGCACCCACAATGCCCCGACCCCCGGCCCCAGCCTAGCAAACAGTCCAGCCCCACCCACTCCACATCACAGCCTTGCACTAGATCTGAGACAACCGCAACAGGAGAAAGGATGCAACCTTGGGCTGCACCTGAGCAGAGCTGCAGATGCCTACACAGGCAACACACCACCCTCTGTGAGCACATGAGCCTCACTTACTTCAACACTCCCCTCCTTTGGGGCAAAACATGCACTCAAAGGGAACAGAGCCTGCTAGAGCCCAACCCTCAGGTCTTCTGCTCCAGCAACTGGGGAGCAGACCTGGCCCCTATCTGGGTGACAACAGCCATGGAGCAGAGAGGAAGTGCCACCTCATACCCTGCACAGGCTTTAGATCCCCCAACACTAACCACGTCCCCTATCAAGGTGGTAGCAGCCAGCACACACTGAAGAAAGGCATGGTTGGCATCCACATCAAAAACAGCCCTTGCACTAAATACACTGGACACATGTAGCCTACACAAGGATGCTCCCACATAAAAACACCCTTTCACAGCCACAATACATAAATGTTTCTCCTAAATTCATAGACACGGAGAAAGTTAAGTAAAATAAAAAGGCAGAGGAACTACTCCCAATTAAAGAGCAAGAGAAAACCCCTGAAAAACTAAATAATGAAACAGAGATCACCAGTCTACCAGACACTGAATTTTAAAAAAAGAGGCAATAAAAATGCTAACTGAATTAAGATTATCGATACAAATGCAGATCATTCTAACAAGGAGCTAGAAACTATGAAGATGCCCAAATCAAAAATAGATAATTCAATTTCTGAGATAAAAAGCAATCTAGAAGCAATAAACAGCCAACTAAATGACACAGAAGAACAAATAAGTGATCTCGAAGATAGAATAATCAAAATCACCCAATCAGAACAGCAGTCAGAAAGACAAATTAAAAAAATGAAAGCAACAAATGAGACCTATGGGATAATATAAACATGCCAACCTACACATATAGGGGTTCCAGAAGTAGGAGAGAGAGAGAGAAGGGGATCGAAAATGTATTTGAAGAAATTATGGCTGAAAGCTTCCCAAACCTAAAGAGGGAAACAGATATCCAAGTACAGGATGCACAGAGGATCCCAAACAAGATGAACCCAAACAGACCCACATCAAGACACATCATAATTAAAATGGCAAAATTTAAAGAAAGGATTCTAAAGGCAGCAAGAGGGAAAAAAAGAGTCATTTACAAGGGAACCCCCATAAAGCTATCAACAGAAACTTTGCAGGCCAGAAGGGAGTGGCATGATATATTCAAAGCCTTGAAAGGGAAAAACCTGCATGCAACCTAGGATACTCTACCCAGCAAGATTACCATTTAGAATAGAAGGACAGATAAAGAGTTTCTCAGACAAGCAAAAACTAAAAGAATTCAGTAATACTAAACCTACCCTAAAAGAAATATTGAAGGGCCTTCTCTAATCGGAAAAGAAGCAAGAAATTGTAGGAAAGGAAAAAATCCCAATAGGAAAGGCAAATATATAGTAAGGACTGAAGATCATTTAAATAAACCAGTGTGTATATTTTTAAAAATTGTAAAAGTGACTATAACTAGAGTAAACAGTAAAAGGATAAGCATAATGATGCAAAATAGGACATCAAAAGCACAAAATGTGGGGGATGGGAGTAAAAATGTAGATATTTTCAAATGTGTTTGAACTTAAATGAT